TTTTAATTGGGTTGTTTGTCTTTTTTGTTGTTAAGTAATGATGTCTTTTGTTGTACAGAAGTTCTTCATTTTAATACATTCCTTTTATGAATTTTTCCTTTATAGTTGGTGATTTTTACAATCTTTTTTTTTTTTTTTTTTAATTAGGATTTGGGTGAAGATTTACAGAGTAAATTCACTTTTCGAGAAAATAGTAATGCCAAATATAAATTATTGGCTGGTAGGAAACATTTCTTTTTCTTGGTACATTCTCAAAACAGAAACTTGCATGAAGTTTAGCTTCTCTGAAGATAGAATGATTTTTATTGCTTTCTAATTTTTCCCCCTACAAGAGCCTGTTGGGATTGTAGATTATCCCCTTGAGGTATCATTTGGAAAAGCAAAGAGCTAAATTCAGTCATATAAGTTATTATTTATAAAATATCTACTTAGCAATTGACAGAATACAGTCTTGTGATGAAACATTTTTTGCAAATATGTATAGACAGTTGTTACTTTAACAAAAATCAAGTCAATGATGAGATCTAGATTGTTTTATATATACAGGCATTGTTTAAAATACTTAATTGTTGTTCTGCCTCAGACTATTTAAAAATATTGATTCCACTTATACTAAAAGGGCATGATAGGAGCATACCAACTCTTCCCTACTACCTTTTCACTCAGTTTTTTATTCCATCATGGCCCAGGCTGTAACTTAAAATTTAATATGATACGGTAAATACCAATTTCTATAAAGGGATATCTAGAACTATATTCCCTTTCTTGGAACTAAAAGAAATTAGAAAATTTCTAAATATCAAGATCGTTTACACATCCCAAGTGTCAAAATATGACATTCATACACTGGAAATTAGTCCAGTTTCACTCTATTTTCCATTCCACTCATTGACACTCTCATCTTATCTTGAGAAACCCAATCTGTAAGGAATTGTGCTGGCCTGGTCTCAAATTTCAATAACAGGGGCAACTTTCTGAGTGGAAAGTAAATTGAAGTCTCTCCAAAGTAGTATATTTTATTACATATTTAAAAATTTGTGATTTTTGTCCTTGACAAGAATTTATTGACTAAGAATGGAGATATGGAGCATGATTTGAGATTTACTATTAGATGGTAATATTGCTTACTAATCTTTGTTATTTTTTCAGAGTTACAAATTTAATGGAAAAAAGAATTTTTTAAAATTAATATTTGTCCTTAACTCTTACATTCATAGTGGGTTTAAATGTAGCTGAAACAGTGTAAGCGAAAAATGTCTTTATAATATTATCTGATAATTCATGAATGACATATTTAAGAAGTTAACACAGAAGGCAATAATTAAAAACTTATTTTTTTAAATAATTCTTCCCCGTTAGACCAATGGCAATGCAGTAGTAAGAAACTAAATGGAGTTCCATAGCTAGATGTTTAAACTGGGTGGAGTGTAGATGAACAGTATTTTGACTGAGTTGGCCCGGTTAATCAAGAGAAATTTCCTGTCTTGCACTACAGTCATTTAAAAGTAACAAAGATTTTAAAGTAAAACAGACCTGCCTGAGCACACAGTGACAGCCTGAGATAATTTAAGGTCATTGCTCTTCATTCCCACAGTTAAGATACAGGTTGCGGCACATACTGGAACCTACAGTTGACCAGATTGATTAACATTCTGAAAAGTCAGTGTAATGGAATCTTTTTATAAGGCTAGTGTGTCAAGTTCAGACTAAGACTACTCTCATAGACCACTATGTATAACTTTCTGTTTTTTAAAACATACTTTATATCGCACTGGTGAAATAACAGGTCCCATTATAATTGGGCTCTAGTTAATGTAACAATAAGAGAAGGGAAACACGGGATATTTGGAGGGAATAGAGATTCTAAAATAAATAGCCTAGTGATCAAGAATGCTGTCTTCTCCAGAGACAATTGAATCCTAAGAGGTCACCGAAATTCATGATCCTTCTGGAAAGTGGCATTGTTTTTGGAAAGAAGGTTTGTATTCTGGTACTTGTGATTTGTTGTTGTTGTTGTTGTTGTTATGTGCCGTCAGGTTGGACTCGACTCATAGTGACCCCTCCTTGGGTTTCTGAGGCAGTATCAATCTACGGAAGCAGATTGCCTCATCTTCCTTCAGAGGAGTGGCTGGTGGGTATGAACCGCCAGCCTTCTCGTTAGCAGTCAAGTGCCTTAGGCACTATGCTACCAGAGCTCCCGGTACTTGTGATTAATGAACATGATTCTGTGGCAAAAAAGAGCTGAGGAGTTTCCAGTTCAACTTTAGGTTCCTTCAGGTAGAGAGGTTAAACAATAAGGTTTGGGGATAAGTAAATAAGTTAATTGTTTGGGGAATTTTATTTCTTTCAAGTAAATTACCCAATTTACATTTTTAATTGTAGGTGCCCGACCCCTGGTTGTGATGGCTCTGGACATATTACTGGCAATTATGCTTCTCATCGAAGGTATGTAGAGATGCTGCTTCTTCTCTTCAAAACCATTCTTTCTTATTTAAATAACCTCACTATGCATACACAGGAACATTGTTCAGCCTTCAGGCTTTGGAGCATTCTGTTTGACTTCACTGGTAAAATTAAGGATCTAGCCCACTGCCATCGAGTTGATTCCAACGTATAGCGATCTATCTCATAAGACAGACTAGAATTGTCCCATAGGGTTTCCAATGCTGTAAATCTTTACAGATGCTGACTGCCTTATCTTTCTCCTGCGGAGCGGCTGGTGGGTTCAACCCACTGACCTACTGGTTAGCACCCAAGTGCTTCAACCACTATGAGATCCTTAAAACCACAATGAAGTACTATACTAATCAAGCCTTACTTAGAAAACAAGCTTTCATTACCCCAATGCCAAATGGCTCCCTTTTTGTCATCTCACTTGTAGTACTGTTGCTCCATCTGCTAGAAACATTTCTAAACTCATTCAGTGGTACATCTTTCTAAATTGAAAAAGTAAAGGGGAAAAAAATTACGTCTAGCATATTATAAGATCCCTGAGAACAGTCATTGAGAGGCAAACAATCTGGTACCATTGAGAGTTCATCTCTTAAATATTAAGATTTGAGCCACGAAAATGTTCAGTTATTATAAACAGTTATCACCAAAGCTGAGCCATCCAGAAATGCTTAACCTTAAAGTTCTAGGCACTGTCACTTCCAAACAAAAAAAGAGTGTTTAAAATATACCATAGAGATTCAGTCATGTGATATTTTAAACAATTATACTATTTGACATTCAGTAAACCTTTTTTGAATGTCTATTTTATGCCAGGCCCTAATTTAGAAGTGAATTGAAGGCACTTTTGGTACACTGTCTACACAAAAGTGGATCTAAACCTTGTAGATGTATACAGGAATTTCCATGTCATGTTCAGTTATGATTAACAAGTTCGTGCCAATAGAGAGACAAGAACATTCTTGAATTAAACCTGTATAAGGAAAAGTCCCCAACAACAGAAAAAAAAAAGTGCTGCATGTAACAAACACAGTCAAGTAAATAAACTGAGTTATAAGGTATTTATTGCCTTATCACTCTCTGGAATCTTAATTATAAAGTAGGCAGTCCAAACGCAGCTGAGCCTTTCTGCTCTAATCACATTGCCAGTGAGGGGAAAAATTGATAGAGTTAAAGCAAGTGTTAACAGTAAATAGTCTATCTACAAATCACAAAGCTTACCTTGCAAAAAGTAAAGTCATTTTGCAAACATTGAGCAGAATGAGAGCAAACTGGCTGAATGACGCGGCTGCCCCAATGACTAGATTCAAACAGAGTAAGGGGATATTCACCTGGCTGATTCACATAGTTTGGACTGGAAATTGAACTCACATGGTGGATCTGTTTCATCTTTGAGATTCTGTTGCAAATCATCTGTGCTTATTTTCACACTGGCTTCCTGTCATCAGCTGATCAGGGCTTAGGCAGAGGGAAGAATGTCAGTTCCCTGCAATATTGTTCCTGTTTGTCTCACTGCGCATGTCCACAGCCAAGGTTAATTTTCAAGTTGTCTCCTGAGACACATAAACGTGCTTATCACCTGTTTCTAGGGGAATACCATGGAAAGAATGTGTAAATTGATTTTTCATTCCCTTCAGTTTTTAAGGAACCGAGTTATTATATTTGCTTATTTGTCTCCAACCAAGGTCCTATCTGTCTTAACCAGGGTGGTGGAACAGCTGAGATTCATCCTATTCAGTTCATAAGGAACTGTATTATTATTATGTTTACTTATTTGTCTCCAACCTGGGTCCTATCTGTCTTAACCAGGGTGGGGGAATAGTTGAGCTTTCATCCTATTCAGTTCTTAAGGAACTGAGTTGTCATCTTTACTTATCTGTCTTCAACCAGGGATGCAGGCTGAACTTTGACTCCACTTGGTTTCAACATCTCTGACCTCTACCTACTGGATACCAGTAGCACCACCACTTCCATTTGGGATAGCCAAGATGTCTCCAGACTTTGCCAAATATTCCCTGTAGGCAAAGTTGTCCCCAGTTTAAAAAAAAAAAAAAAACTGCTGCCATAAACCATATATGTGGTCAAGTGAAGTTGTATTAGCAATCCAGAGCCAGGAACTACTTTGAATATAGAACAAGAGTAAGCATCTAACTCCAAAAAGCAATGTCAGAGTAAAATCACTGGCTTAGATTAAATAAAATTAAAAATTAGAACTTTAATTAATATAAAAATCAAGCATATTCTAAGCTACTCTATATTTTAATGTATCTTGAGAAAGAAATATCTCACTCCTCACATGACCAGAACTTCCAGTATCTTATAATATTTGTTGAACTAAAAGTGGATACTTCCTCATTATTTCATGCCTAAATGTCTGTTTTTTTCTCTTGACGTTTTGTCTGGTTTTTGGCATCACATAAATGTAATCATAATCTGATTTAAACATGTTTATTCATTGTACTTATATTTTGGAATGTTAGATATCAATATAGCATAAACCCATGATTAAAATATAATTTAAACGTAAATGTAAGCTATGATCTATGCCTGAAATAATACTAGGGCTAATCGATAGAGTTAGAAAGTAAATGTAACTCGGTTTTCAGCAAATTTGAGTACTGTATATAGCCATATAGGGGTTTTAGCACTCAAAAGTGGAGTATATTTTGATATTATATTCTATAGCAATAACTTCCCTTGCATAGAAGCTTGAACGGAGTTTAACATTCTGTTAAGCAAAAGTGCTTTTAATAGTGATTATGTAAATTTGCCACTAAAGACGAATAGAAACCAATAGTTAACTAAGTTAACTTCTCCAGCTCCTGTCGATTCTTGATGGCCATAAATACAAGTAAAAAGACTTGATTCAGTGTTAATCTCTTGTTGTCCTATTTCCCAGAAAAATGGCAGGCTGTTACTTATATGCAAGATATATGCAAACATACTTTGAAAGTGGTTCATTAGCCTTTTTCATTTATTTATTGTGCCATAATTCAAGTCAGTTATTATGAGTTCAAGGAATCTTCATCTCTGGGCTATCCAAAAAACAAACCAAACTGACTGCCATTGAGTTGATTCCAATTCATAGCAACCCCCATTGAGTTTCTGAAGTGGTAAATCTTTAAGGAAGTCGGTTGCCCAGTCTTCTTTCCAAGGAGGGGCTGGTGGGTTTGAACCACCAGTTATCTGGTTAGCAGTCAAATGCCTTAGGCACTACACCCCCAGAGACGTAAAGTCATAGAACAATGATCCTTAACATTTTAAGGGTCACAGATCTGTTTTGAGAATCTGCAAATACCTATGCATCCTCTCTTTTCTTTTCTGCTTTGTATGCCTTCAAATTTTGTTTGCAATCACAGGATGTTAACTATTCCCTACTAACTCTCAAGGAGGAAAATATAGCACAACACTAACCTTCTGCTAGGTACTGTTATAGGAACTTAAGAAAGTGTGCTTTCTTTTATGGTCCTTATAGTCATAATGAGAGTTAGATGATTGCATTTCTTTTTTGCATTCAAGGAAACTGAAACTCTGGGAGGTTAAGTAGCAAAGACTGAATTTATGCCCAGATTTTCTGACTGCAAAGACCTTTCTCATTGTAGACCTTCATGCCCAGAATGGCTATTGAAAATCATATAGTCTGCTCCCTACTGCAAATTTAAGAGCACTCTCAACTAGCTTAGATGGGACTTGATTTGTATTTGCTTTTGTTTCAATTTTAGTAGTAGTAGTGTTTTTCAGTCTCTGCACAATATCTACTTTCATTTTAACAAATATTTATTGACTACATACAATATTCTATAAAAAAAATCCTTCATCAATTGCTTTATATCCTCAGTGAACATAAGACCAACTATCTGTTTACTAACTCCCATATAAAGTTCTGGTGGTGTAGTGCCTTAGAAGTTCGGCAGTTCAAACCCACCAGCCACCCTGCAGAAGAAAGACAAGGAAGACTGAGCAATCAACTTCTGTAAAGATTTACAACCTCAGAAACTGAATGGCAGTTGCTATGAGTGAGAATCAACTCCATGACAGGGAGTTACAGTTATTATCAGATTTTATCTTGGTCTTCTTCAACAACAACAATTAAAAAAATCAACTTCTTAAGCTTTTCTTCAAAGGTCGTATTTCCCAGGCATATTTATTTCTTTTCTCTGACACTTCACCAAGGTCTTCTTACTCTTCTGAAATTTTCAAAGATGTGTCAGGATGGTGACCTCTCAGCCTGGTCTTGGCAGAGGGCTTACCTAGGAGTTCTCCCTTGTCCTCTCCGATTTATTCATCCTACTTGCTTTTTCAAGAGGTATGTACAAATAGCAAGAGATTTAAAAGTCCTGAAGTTGTTGCCCAGTGTAAAAGTAAAGTCAAATGACTATGCTCTTTGAGTCTGAGTCCCACTGAGATGCCCTTATGCCCTTACAGAGCAACAACTGCACCTCTTAGGGTTCCAGAATGGTCTCAAAGACAGAATTATATTAAATAATAAAAATAAAAAAACCAAACTCACTGCCATTGAGTCAATTCCAACTCATGGCAACCCCCTTTAGGCTTCCAAGGTGGTAAATCTTTATGGAAGTAGATTGCCCAGTCTTCCTTCCATGGAGTGGCTGGTGAGTTTGAACTGCCAACCTTCTGGTTAGCAGTCAAATGTCTCAGGCACTATGCCACCAAAGCTCCTAAATAATAATAAAAGTCAATTTTTATTGAGTGCTTACGGTGAACCATGAACATTTTATACAAAAAATGTCACTATCCTATGAGGATATTATTATTATCCTAACTGCAAATGAGGAAAAAGGGCTACAGAGATTTTAGTAACACATACTTTCAACTCTGTTTCCTCTGGGGGCACTTTTATTTCCTCTTTTACGATAATGAGCACAATCTAAGGAAGACAGCCAAAGATCTGATGCTTTCTACCTACTCTGTTCTAATATGCTGTTGGAAATCAGAAGCAAGGATCCCAAAGGCCTTACCCGAGCTAAAGCAGA